AATATTTATGTATATTTTATATCGTATCAGTCTTTTATCCATTTGGGTGTGACACAACTATTTAGTCATTCATCAGAAGCTCGAAGTGAGAATTTGAATGCAGATACAGTGCTACTGTACTTCAGATCCGTAGCGACCTACCTGCTTGAATCATATATTTTCAGAGCTATCGCAGCGCACATGGTCGTACTGTCCGCAGACCTTATCATGAGCATGAAACTGAATTCGTATATTGGCAGTCAGGCTCAAACTCAAAAAGTGTCTCATTGCGTACGCAGGTAACTATTGAGTTGAAAATCATACATGCTAGCAGACACTCATGGTATTTATCGGAACGAAAATCATACCGAGCAGAACTTTGCTTTTGTGACTGTTATCTAGCTGATTGCATCAGAACAATTATAAGAGAATGGTTTCATGGGTTAATGGGATAAAACTGGTCACTTTGGTCAACTTATTAAAGATGAATGGCATTGTCTCTGAGTTCCAGGGAGTAGTTCATTTGTTTCGAACCAATAAAAGTTCGCACTCGACTGAGGTGTCTTCCTGTCAGTGAAGCCAATCTATGCTCAAATTCAGAGAAGCACTGTACAAGCGAAATACGCTCATTTGCAAACAAATTTGGTTTTGCGGGAGATTCACCTGGAACTCAGCTGGATCTCTCGTTTGTGATGTTCCTAGGCAACTGAATGTGCTGCACCAGACCGCCTCATTTTTCAACCGCTACGAAATTCTAGATATCGCGGTGCATGTATATCCGTAATGCGCTACTCATAAGGCTGCTGAAAAGTGCTTTACCCTTGTTCGGAATCATCAGCAATATACATCTTACGAAACTCAGATTTTCGAACATGCGACCTTCTTATCAGTGGTTAAAAAATTAACCGTTCGGCAATGAGCAGCTGGACGGCATAATGATCAGCTTTCACGGAGACGGTATATAGCCCCTCTCATTCTTCAGACACATCAACCAAAGCACATGACTACCCTTTGACCACCTTCTCGAATGAGGACCTATCAGATAGAATTTTCGCTAGTCTTGTGAAAGCATTTCCCCTTTGAGTCACTTGTAGAATTTCAAAGGTCCGTATGTCACGTCAGCTTTTCTGAATACAAATATCTAGGTTGCTTGCTTGCATTCCAGTACCCCATAGATCGGTAGCATTTTGGATCTCACAGACCGTGCGCCATTTAGCGTTGTAAGTAAAGAATACAAAAGTAACCTTATCTACTTATCTCCTTCGTAACAAGTGACATATTATCTTACCTCTCTACATCAGTATGTAGTAGTAGACCGGTCATGGTCAACCTGCATCCTTTCAGATCCTTCGATCAAACAAACACACATCAACCAGTTAACCGGACTAATCGGTGAGCTTAAAAATTGGCGCACATTTAGTCGGTCATGGCTCACTTACAGGTGTCAACCAATGTCACAGTGAGATTATGTGGATGAAACTTATCAATACGCGGACATTATGGTTATGAATCACTCCCTGTCGTGACATTACAAAACTAAACGCATGACGTTTGTGACGAAATGAACCAGAATTCTGTGGCGAACAATGGGCATCAAGAGTGACTGTCTAGGTGAGATAGGATGAGGGTAACGAAGTACCGAGGGGATGCGGTTTCGTTACGGCAAGTGATAGCCCATCTGGCTAGCCCGTTTTGAACATAATCTATTGCAGTGGGCCAAAGCAGATCAAAAAACAACTTGTTTATTCAACCGCTAACTGTGAACGGGTCCTGAACGAACTTTGTATTTTTATGAACCATTTTTAGGTAATATCATTTGGTACAGGGTCAACTTTCAAACTAATCTAGGAATGGTTTGTCTGAAACGAGGGACTTTTCCCTTCTTTTTTTGTTCACATAAGCACCACTTTTTCAGTTTTTTTAGCTTAAATGGGAGAATATGTTGTCTTCGCTTTCAAATCCAGATTACTGAAACTACTTTGTGTACCACAATTAGTTGCAAAGACAGCCTGCCACCAGAAAAATTCCTAAAGTTTCACATTATCGTCTGACCCTTGGTATACCTAGCAGACGACCAACAACACTAGTTGATCTACTCTGACCTTGCTAAATCCATCCAACAAACCTACTTATCAGTGGCACTTAAACTGTCCCTGAAATGTTCCTGACACCCTAAAGTACATGAATTTAATCTCGTTATGCTGTGAATTCTAGTTGCTTCTCCTGACTTCTTCCTAGAGAGAAAGAAAAAATTGCTTCTGCACATGATTTTTGTCTACTCATTTTCCCCTATTTCAGACCGGTCCACTTAGCAGACGGACCATTGCAATCGCAATGGCGAAGATACTGAAACGCCCAATGGCGATCCATAAAAAATGCTACTGTCGAGACAATCGTTATGGTCAAGGAATCCTCGACTGCATTACGAATATGACGCTTGCAGCTGAAACCATTTTTTCTAATTAAACCGTTTATATACATAAACGCCTATGGCTTTTTCCAGGCATAAGCAGGTCAACCGCCCTTCTTTGTGTTATGGACATTATGCCCTCAACCTTCATCCGCTAAGTTGTCATCCAGTTTATTCGCTTCTAAATAGATGATATCCGGTGCAGCGTGGTTCTGGTTTTCACTTGGACGATACAGCATCTCCTGAAAGGTAACCACGTTAGGGCATTAGCAGAAAAAAGCAAATTGCCTGGAAAGCCTTGCCCACTAGTGCGAAACCTCTCGGGATGAAATTGGAAATGGCAAAATATCTCACAATGATTTGCTGATCTCAACACTTCCTACAATATAAGCCGGAAAGCAGACAGTCAGGCAGTCACTAATGTGGTTATGGAGTTAGAAGGAACGCTTATACTCTGATTCGATTTTCTCTCCGCTTGTTCTGTAGTTAACCACTGTAGTGAAATGCAGTTGGTCATGCAGGCAGCATTATGACATGATTTCCGGTAAGCAGAATCCTCAAATAGCCCCGCTGTTGATCTTTTTTCTGACCTCCTCAACTCTCCAGTGTTACTTTTCTCAAGTTTCCAGTACCTGTCGTCTTTCAAAAACACCAATTTGAGAGGCTGTGTCATGAGTTGTACACCAAAACAGTTATCCTCAGGTTTCTACCTCTCGAGGTCCCTTTTGTACTAGTCCATCATAGAAGAAAGTATATCGCCATCGCGGTCGGCAGTACCGATAGCCCAGCTTTGTATAACAATGTAATGTATTGTTGTCGTACAAATCCAGTACTACTCGCGGAGGAGACTCTTAAAACTGGGTGATAAGTTAGTGTGTCAAATTAAACTTGCGGAACAAGCAAAACGACACATGAAGAAATCACGGCGAAAACATCTTTGAAATGCAAGCGATTGTAGGTGATTGAGAGATGTCTAAGCAGTATTGTTGAGAGCACACACAATATATGCGCTAGGAACTACAAATTACACTAGCTCTCAGCTGCTGGTGGTAGAACGGTTGGTTGTTCAACTTCCTACCGGAAGGTCGCGGGTTCAAAACCCTCTGAGCTTTGCGAGATGTATACTACTGCTGATTTCCATTATAGATGAAACAGCAATACAGTGCTTCATGGTCTTTCAACATAGAGTGGTTTCACTGATAGGAAGAAGTCTCATTTGAAACTGACCAAATCTCTTTAAACTTCCATCAACAAATTCAAGTGGCAAGTGGAAGACACCAAGCCATGTGACAACTGTGAACCGAAGAAGGTTGTCAGTCAAGCGCTACGTGATAAGCGGGACTTTGTTTTTCGTTCGCTAAATACAAAGACCATGATACAGTTGCTTATGATTCATTAGTGTTCGAATCCTGGTCGAAACAATTTTTTGGCCCCAGAGTCACTTAGTCAGGACAGATACTTAGCTTGAAGGTGAGGAACAGACACACGAAGGGGTAACGGAAATTAGTGACCAAAGCAGATGACAGTGTCAAACCACTGTTCGTTAGGACGGCTTGAGTGGCCGCTCATCAGATGATAGTTGAGCTGTCCACGGAGTTCGCCAACTAAAAAATACATAAATATGGAACACTTTATGTTGGTGCGGAATATTCAGGCCCTAGAGACTATCGTTCCTCCATTAAGATTTTTACTGACACTTATTGCAGTCTATGAAAGTTCTTGATCTAAACGACCATCTTTCGCGCAACCACACGCTCGGTGTGACTACAAATTACACTGAACATGAAATGCAATAATATAATCCAGGTTTTGCTCAAGTTATCCAGTCACAAGGAATGAAAATCTCCACGGTCATCATTGTGAACAAGCCTTCGTCAAGGTGGTGTGCAACGAAAGAAATTGATTCAAAAGGCTTGCCTAGATATCTTACTTGGTCGTCATCAACCACATTATCAGCGTCAGCAGTAAGACTGTGTGTATGATTTTAAATAAAAAAGAATAGGTCGAACAAACCCAACTTGCATCACATGTATCACACACACAAATCAAATTCGAGATCAGGGACCATGCAGTGCAGTGCATGACAGCTGCAGCCCAGTAAGGTAGACAGAGTGTATAACATTCTCTAATGAGGTAAGATTCCGCGGTTAAAGGCACGAAATAGAACAACACTGTCCGTTCATCCTGTCTCTCGAATTCGATAAGTAGTATATGTTAAATTGACGGCGGCACCTAAATTCAAAAGATGTTTGACATGACGGCCCAAAATAAACTTATCAGAAACAGTGGAAGTATCCTTCCCTGAAGTGTATTGGCGTCACAACGTTGAAATCTCCAGCAAGCAGCCTTGTGACTTATAGGGTTTCTCATGGTTTATTCCACCGCGTTTGCTTTCCTTCTGTGTTTGTAGGGGCTACTATGTCGTCTGTGATCAGCGTGGACAACTGAATGTTGAATACAAAAATTTGGGCTTTGTAGTATTCGATTGGTCCATGATATGATGAACAAGATGGAGCTTTCGTTTCTATTTGTTTGCAGGGTATCTGTACCGGGAAACAGAACTACAGGATTTGGTGTTGTAGTCGATCAGATTCGGCATGAAGTACACACGTAATCATTAGATCGTCGTCTGTTTGCTTTATAATGAAACTGTGGGGCAGAGGAATTCGCAGCATCGCCAAATGGCAAATGGTCTATTTTAACTTTGGTGTACAGTGAAGTTGAAATCACAGTGTAAGACAGAGATAATAAAGTTCAAGAAAAGCGTTCAGTGACTTTGAAAACATCGGATGTGGCTGGTGATAGGTAACAAGTTTTTCCGTAGTTGCCAGTGCATTTTCGAGGGGGCGCTAGGGGAACCCGACAGCATGAAGAAAACTGCTGTGGGTGCACCACCAGACTGGGTATGACAGTGCCGTGAAAAGACTGCGGTGACGAACTTAGGTTTATGGACCGTTCCGTAAGAGAAGTCTTGGTTGGGGTGACCGGATAAGGGACTTACACTCCCGCATCAGTGAAATTTGGGTTATTCAGTGGGATCAATACAGGCAGAGTCAAGGTAATTCCAGTCGAGTTGGAGGCGCATGCGGATTTGAAGCGGGGACCAGGTAGAATCAATAACAACCATAAGGATATTTGGGGCGCCTATTGCCCAAGATCAAAGCTCGTAAAGATGAGTAAGTGTTTGAAAGTCTCACATCACATTAATTTTATTAACGGAGTTAAATTTAGGGGAGGTGACGATAAGGCCTCAAACGAGCCTAGGATACAGTTAAGTTGTGTGGTTTTCAAAGGGAATATTCATTTGAAGGCAACAAGTTAAAGGTCCGCCCGGGATACTCGGTAGCATTTTGGCTGGAAGAGAGAGAAAGAGCTATGTAACTGTCCAATCGTTACTTTCTTTATGCTATTAGATACATTCTCAGTCGAACGAGAGCCTTGAATTTCGAAAGTCCCTCAACCATTTTTAGTACATCTACTTTCGCGTCTGCAATTCATCAGACATGGTGCAGGGTTAACTTGATCGGTTCTTATAGGCTGCTTCTACCTGTGTGAGTTTAGCTTTGCTGCTTCTTTAAATATGGAAACCTCAGTTACAAGAAGGGAAATCGTAGCCTCTGCTCCTATGGGGGCCAAGATGATTAGCAATATGGTAGCACCTTTTATGATGTGGTCTACCATATCTGTCTAACAGCTGTTGAATTTTCAAATAAGTTGAAGTTTGGAAAAGCAGCCATTCGGTTTATCATTCTGGGTCACCCCAGAACACACAACAATTTGTGTACTAGCTTAAGCCCGGATGGCAAAATTGGATCTGACGGACCACACGATTTAATTAGTTTCAGCTTCAAAAAATTAGGCTCTGTTGAAGAAGAGTCAACTCACTAGTAAGTTTAGGCAGCTGGTCAGAGTTATTAGGATGGGTAGGGTGTTCATACGGATTGAAACCAGAGGGCTTTCAGTGAATAAGTGAATCTCTTGTTAGAGCGAACCGGTAGTTCATCTGGATAGCCAGTATCTTTATGTTTGGGAACGGACCTAGCTGGTGTGTTTATTTTGATGCTCACAGATAAAACGCCATAACGGGAAATAATAGAGGCAGGACTAGACGTCAGAGGGAGCATGAAAGTTACCCATTGGTTCATGGTTAACTTCGTACGTTAGCGTTTTGATTGAAACAGTTGGGGTTGGTGACCACATTTTGGGTTGTTAGAACGAAACAGGAATAGAGCGACGGCGTTTGTGAGTTTACTGCAAACGCCGTGTGCTTGATAAAGCAAGCAGTACTGCCATTTGAAGGGACAACAAGTAAAAAAATGTACAAAACGGGCTCAATGCATTGAAACAAATGGCAAATTTAATATGACACCTTAAGGAAAAAACCATGTACCAGAGAACATCACGTGGCAGGAATTGTGAAATTTATCGCTTACTACGACCATCCTGTAATACCAATCCTAAGAAAAGATACCCGATGACTACTAGACTTGAGACCTCAGAAACTATTGTGGTGGAAGCAAGTCACTGCATTGATATACATGCCTGTAATTCTGTGTATCTTCAGTTCCTGCCACTTGATTAAGACCATGAGTGATTTTTAGCAGAGAGAACCGATCCAAGATTGCTGGAAATGGACAGCAATGAGAAAAGTAGTTTCAACAAAGACCAATCGTGATCACTGGGAGAATGACGAAGGACACCAAACGATCATAGTGAGCGAAACTGTTCTTTGGTGAAGTATTTTGTGAAGTACGATGGACTTGCGATGCCGAGAAGGTGTGTTACCTGATTTATAGCTATTTGCACCGTCTTCGATAAAGTTGCAATGAGGATATGGCTAGGAAATGGTCATGGTCGTGCGCCGCGATTCAACTGTAAGATCCGGGGGGGCTTAGAGGATTACAGAGTGATTGAAGCAGTCGAACTTCCCGCAATTTGTAGTCAGTTGGTAAAGGGCTGTAAAAACATGTGGATAAAATTAGTAGGTGATGTATCGTCAACGGGTTTTTATGAACAAATGGGATAATAAACATCATGAATTAAATAGAACGTACAGTCACCAATAGTGCAATCGGTAGTATCAGAACGATGGGCTAATGCAGCGGGCTTTCTGGAAGCACTAAATACCTAATGATATATAAAATTGCAGAAAGGCATAGTCAGACAGTCTGAATAAATGGTTCAGAGAAAAAAGGATCATATG